ACAAATGACAAGTTAAAGTTTATAAATGGCTTTCCATGGTTTCCAAGTATGTGGTAATAAGAAAAAGAAGACAATTCCAAAATAAAGTAAGACTTACACATTTTTGGTAAGAAAATCTGAAAAGCACATTTCATGTTCTTGTGAAGCTGGGGTGAGGAGAGAGGACACGGGGGAGAAGATTCATGAAGTTGCCTCAGTTGGAGCTGCACACACCAGGGCTTTCTGAAGATAATTGTAAAGGCTATGCTGTGCCTGGCTGAGAGATGCTCTGAGGTAGGAAGCTAGAGCCTCAGCTCACATCATCTCAGAGCTGAAAGATGATATCCTTTGTCTGTACAGAGGACTAATGTTGACAGGTATGAGGCCAGACCAGATGGCTCAACCCCTCACTCTGTACCCCCTCATGGCTGTCCATCACCCAAGGCCAACTACTTCTGCTCTATAGATGGTTCCTGGTAGATCATGCTGTCATCCCTTGCTAGGTGAAGACATTTGTGTGGAGTTGATATCAGGAAATGTAATGTTTTTCTAAGACTTCAACCACTCTTGACCTCCCAAGGGTTCTAATTTTAGAACTGCCCATGATCAGCACCTGGCTACCTTGGGAACACACCATCCGCGCACCTAGAAAACCAGAGGCTGTGTATTTCCAAGACCTCATTTCACAATGAGAGTCTCTTAGAATACAGGTGATAGGTTCTTTCTATTTGAGGAGAGGCCTGGATATTGGTGGGGAGGAATTTGTGCAGAGATGCCTGGAGGGTCCAAACAGGGGAATGGATGCGCTTTTTTTTTTTTTTTTTTACCATCTATTCTTCTGTCTTCCTCTCAAATGAGGCTGTTCAGACATCCCTTCATCAAAACCGTAATTCTGGACCAAGATGCTGCTTTGTACATCAAGGTTCCCCTTTCCTCGGATATATCAGAGAATGTCTGGTCTCTGAGGCAGACAAAACGAAGTATTGGGGCCTCTCACTGTTGGCCTTTTGGGTGCCAGAAATTGGTTGGTTCATCCCATGGCAAGCAGGCCACATAGACAACCCAGTGCATCCTGGGGGAGTGACCCAGAATAGCTTCTCTTTGGGTCTCCTGCTGGGCCTCTGAGCTTTTCATGCTCCCCAGTGGCGAGGTCCATTTTAGAACTGAAGAGAAAGAAGTTTTAGTCCATTCCATTTTCTTTGTGTCTCACTTGTTGTACAGTGTCATATAAATGGGCACCGAACCTGCCATTTTCTCCTAAAACTTGTATTACTCTTACTTTGGAATATGAATCGTCTTTTCAGGTTCCTAGCCAGCCTTTTCCAAGACATCCATATAGCCTCAAAGAAGTCCAAGCACTTGGAGAAGTGGTTCTCAACCTGTGGGTCCTGTGGGTCGCAATCCCTCGAACAACCTCTCTCCAAATATATATATATATTTACATTACAATTCGTAACAGTAGCAAAATTACAGTTATGAAGTAGCAATGAAAATAATAGTCGGGGGTCACCACACCGTGAGGAACTGTATCAAAGGGTCGCGGCATTAGGAAGGGTGAGAACCACTGGCTTGTGGTTCCAGGAAGGGAAGCAGGCAAAGTAGAAACAGGCATGAGAGACACACAGAGAGTTGCCCCAGTCTCACACTGAAGAGTTGTTAAAATTGTCTCATCACTCTCCAGACCAAATGCACCTGTGTGACTCTGTGTTGGAATCTGGCTTATGATATAAGAAAACAATGAAGCCAGCCATCCTGCCACAACCCCTCAAACAAACCTTCCCTTCCCTTGCAGAGACTGCTTCTTCTGGCTTATGAGATTTTTCTGGCCTCCTTAGGTGATTCTGACATATTCCAGGAATACGCCTATGTTCCTGCAAAAGGAAGCAGAATCAAGTTACATGGGGCTATGGATGACAATACAGATTTGAAAGCCATGTCATTCCTGTGTCCACATCTGCCTTTTCTGAAATGTGTGCTGCTTTCTCAGCCAGGGACAGCCTTTGATCGTCATCACAGCTGGCGGCTCATGCACATAAACTAAGTCGTCTCCAATGTGCCTACACTGGGTTAAGCATTTACCATAGATTAATTGGCAGTAGATTTATTTACATTTGTATTTTGTAGGCAAGGAAGCCAATTCATGAAGAGATACAATCACACATATCCAGCTTGCAAAGACAGAGCCAAGATACAAACTTAGGGGGCCTGATTCCATAGGAGACAGTTAGGTCAATGGTCTTCTCAAAGGGTCTAGTTAGTCATTTTTACGTGAATGAGAAATAGACAGGTAAGCCTGGTGGTCAGGGCCAATCAGAGTCAAATTTAGTTCCAAGCCAACTGATTTCATTCAGATAGAAAGAAGAGAGCCAGTGTAAAGAGATCATCTTTTTGTGTAAGCCTCTGAGAGTCGAGAGCTTGCAGTTCGGGGACCCATGGCTCAGACAGGCAGATTTCTGTCCGGTGTCAGCAGACACTGCGGGAGCCAAGCCTCCCATTAAAACCCCAACTCCACCCTCTGGAAGCTGTGTGATTCCAGGCCAATGACTTGCTGTCTCAGTGATTCTGTCTGGTCTGCATGGCGAGTGTAATTGTGCTGCGGTGGGATGAAGGAGGTCAGGTATGCAGATTGGGAATAGCTCCTGCTATCAAGTCAAGTACTCTGGACAGGTGCTGGTTTTCCTGTCATCCTCACGATCTGCTCCGAAGAGGTGGTGACCTCTGGCATACTGGCAGGGACAGAGGGTTTATGCATTTTATACAAAAAGCTCTCAGGAACTTTATATAGGAGACGACGTAAAAAGTGACTCCTGTTAGATGCATTTCAGTGACGACGACAACTTTTAGGGCTGCAGATATCCTGCATATCAGATATTGACATTAAAATTCATAATGGTAGTAAAATTACAGTTATAAAGTATCAACAAAAATAACTTTATGGTTGGGGTGGGGGGGTCAGCACAACATGGGGAACTATGTTAAAGGGCCGCAGCGTTAGGAAGGTTGAGAACTACTGGGCTAGAACTCTCTGGCTTTATTTCATTGGAGAGGTAAGTGAAAAGCTGGTCAACCAATAGGTTGCATGGCACTGTGTGAAATTACAATTTTGTACCTAGCCGAAGGGATTTAACATAACATATAAATGGCATGATTTTCAATGAAATCAGAGGCTGAAAATTTATTCTGAAAGTCTGAATCTTGATCTGGGCAGATGATTCAGCCAACAAAGTGCTTGCGACACGAGCATGAATACCCAAGTTCAGATGCCCAGAGCACACAGAGAAAAGTAGTATGTGTGGACTATGGGCCCGTAATCTGATCATGGTCCTGTAATCCCATTGATGGAGAGGCGGAGACAGGGGCATCTCTGAGGCTCGCTGACTAGCTAGTCTAGTCAAATTAGTAAGCTCCGGGTTCAGTGAGAGACCCTCTCTCAAAAACTAAGGTGAAGAGCGATCAAGAAAGGCATCTAATGTTAATCTCTAACCTCTGTATATTCAGATACAGGTGAGCATGTGCATGCTACACACACACACACACACACACACACACACACACACACACACACACACACACACTTCTGAATCTTGACATGTCAGAAAGGGAAATATTCCTATCTGCAAAGGTCAAATGACTAGGAAGCCCAGATATAGCATTTCATCTTGACAATTTGTCTTGGGAAGATACTTACAGGTCTGATCGATTCTCACACATACAAGTCTTCACTGCTCTTTTTGCCAAAGAATCAGACTGGATTCCACGAGGAATCCTTAGAGGGCTCTCATGGGGTAAGGCCGTTTTAAGACAGTTTGGGCCAACTCTGCCAGCTCACCAATGGGAAAAGTTGGCAAAATTCCAAAGATGGCTTGTGTTATATCTGTTATGTCACAGGGTGGAGTGTGTTTGGGTGGGTTAAGGGGAAGCCTGTAATTTTGTAGCTATTAGTAGTACATTTCTGCTAAACCTCTTTTTATTCTAAAAATTGGTTGAAAGAATCTTAGCACTCAGGACAATTCTAGGCTGCTCCGTCACCAGAATAGAATCCACCCAGACTTGGTACTAATTCTATACAGCACAGAGTGTAAATATTGACCCCAAAATATTGAGTACTTTTGTCCCATTTTTTTTCTTTTTTTTAAATTGTCTTTTGTGAAGATTTTCCTGTGTAAATAAAAAGATAGTGTTTTGAACTTAATCCTAACTACTTAGAAAAGATGGAGCCACTAATGTCTTGCTTAGAAAGAAGGAGCATGGTCAAGTTCATTATGGAGCCATGAATTGCTTCCGTACTAATAGCCATCCTTTGTACCAGATGTACACACACGTGCTTCTCAGCTTCTTGAATCAAATTCTGTAAATAAATTAGCACAACAATCACGTCATGCTTTTTGTTGTCTAGGGTCATCCTCATGTGATGCTTAGTGATCCCGTTACACTTGGGTAATCAGGTGAAGGAGAGCCTCGCGATGGTCCATGGGTCAGCTATGTGGACTCTAGCTGCCAAAGGCGCTTCTCCTTCTGAACAGAGCGCTTTGCTCAGCCAGTGTAGACATGGCCTGATAAACAATGGAACTCCTCCCTTGAGAACTGGAGTGTGGATTGATCTAATCCTTTAAGAGAAAAGTGTGCACAGGTTTGATGAACGGTTGAGATGATGACGTTTCTAGTCCAATGGATCCTGAATTGGTGATAACGTGATGAGTAGCGTAATTTATAATGAACTTCAAAGTGGGTAGGGCTGAGTGTTCCAAAAGCTAATCAAGGGGCTATCAAATCAAAGGTTTCTTGTGAGCTTAACTATGTGCGGCAGGGAGGTTCTTGCAGGCTTGTATCTGTCAGGTCTTAGCACTAAACCTGTCAGAGTGCTGCCTGGTCACGTCGTTTTTAACCAAGATGTCACCTACCTCATGGGAAGCAACTTGCCTTGTGCCCCCCCACACACACACACGCGCGCACACTCATTTCATCGGAGATAGGAAATGCAGAGGGGATGCCTCTGTTAACACCATGCCTCTGTTTTGCAGATTTGCAGGCTCATGGAGTCAGCAAAGAAGAGGAGGTTTATGAACAGCAGCCCTTGCACTCTGCACAGGATGGCTGCAGGGAATGCTTTTCGGTCTTGCCCAGAGAAGTGGGCCAGGGTCACTGAGATACCTCTGAGATTTAAATCAGGTGTGTGAAGGATGCTGGAAACATGAATTAGTGTCTGTGTTTTTCTTGTCTTGCACTTAGGCCCACCAAGGGAAGTGGGGAAGGTGGTGGCTTAAGCCTCAAAACACGCCCCTAACACAAACCACTGTCTCCCAGGATGTGACATACTCCAAACCTGGCTTTCCCAGACCATCTCTCTATATCTCACCAAGTTTCCAAGTTGTAAATTTTAAAAGCATGATGATAGTTTTTCATATATTAAAAACAACTTGATTTGGGAGCTATGTTAAAAAATTGAAACTTGAACTTTGATTCTTTTTTATCATTAGTCTATTTCCTCATGGAATAAGTGTTATTGGTGATATGAACTGTGAGAAACTTAAAAATATTTCCTTCAAAGTCTCTTCAAAATAGATACTCACATTATCTTTAAATGGTGGTTAAGTGGTTCCAAAAAAAAGCAAGCAACATTAACAGCTTCAGAAAACATAAACCATGTCTCTTTAGAAGATCAAGTTGTGCTTAATAGCCTAGGCACTTAATTCGTTCAGGAACTACACCGTCTCCATGGCTGTATTTTGTTAGAAAGGAAAGAGAGGCTGTCTCTACAGGTGTCACAGAAAAATCGATGCTGAGCCACGGATTATTGGATCCCACGGAACCGTGGAGACTTGGCAGTGAAATTCTTCCAAAGGTGAGTAGGGGCCATTGATTTTCTTTCTCAGGCCTGAGGAAATAGGGCCCAAGGAACAGAGACCAAATTTAGATTGGAAACAAGTGTGACATGACCCTTTACTTCCAGAAAAATGCAGTAACTTCGCCAAACAAATAAGTGTGGAAATTCAATGAGAGCATAAGCATAGAAGTTGGTGTCATTCAGTTTTCATCAATTTGCTTTAAAATAAGAATATATATATATATATATACACACATTACACATTCTTGGTACATTTTATTTAAAAGCATAATTTTTTGACCTTTTACCTGTAGCTCTGATTCCTTAGTTGTTTTACTACATTGCTTAGCATTCCATCTGCGCAGGCAGAGGTGTTCCTGGCTTGGGAGGTATAAATCCCGTGGGAAGTCAACTGGAGAACATTTTACGCATCGCTCATTCTATTATGAGCCTGAAGCTCTTCCCTCTCTCCACAAGGTAAGAGATTTATTGTGAATTGACTAAAAGAGTTAGAGGATGTTGTGTGCTAGTGGAACCTGCTTTCAATGTGTATATTCTTTGCAAGTTGTAATGGAGAACGTGCAACTTGTTTTCTAAGTAAAGCATAATTGTGGTGATTAGCCTGCTGGCCTACATGATGTCACACTCATCTGTCCCTGGTGGGATTGATGTGTTCTGTCCTGGAGCCTGGGTTCTGTGGTGTTGTCTTCCTCATGGGAAGTGGTGTGGGGAACTTTTTATAATGAATTTGAGCAGAGTTGATGATTCAGGAAGATTATTCAGGCTTAAAAGCAGAAAATGGCCAAATTACTACTTTAATCTAGCTAGAAAGTAATATATTTGAATTATACTCATTTGGGCAATCAGAAATTGATTATAAAATATCAATCTACAAAAAGTGCCAGTTCATGGTAGTGAATGTGATGATCTTGTCATTTATTTTTTGTTCATTGGTTTTTGATTTTTATTTTTTTTTTTAATTTTTTTTTTTTGAGACAAGTTTTCTCTGTGTTGCCCTGGCTGTTCTGAAACTTGCTCTGTAGAACAGGCTGACCTCAAACTCAATGAGATCTGCCTGCCTCTGCCTCCTGAATGCTGGGATTAAAGGTATGCACCACCACCACCACCCAGCTGGAGTTGCTTTTTTTTTTAATTGGCCAGTTAAAACAGTCTTATTCTCTTTTCCTTAGCCTAAACTTTTAAATTGGCTGAAACACTAAACGCTGTGTACAATCTTTACTCAAACTTGGATACATTAGACAGTGTCCTGATCCTGATTGTTCCCACATCACTGTTATGTGCAGGACAGCTGGCTAGAAGAGCACAGAATTACACATAAAATAGCTGAAAGTGAAAAATCTTTGGATTTCCCATTTGATGCAGTAAGATTTTATCAAGTGCCATGAAACTGCATTTGACTTCACCACTGTCCCGTCAGGCTTCATATGCTTTGTCTGAACTGTGACTCTTTTGAGATGTTTAAAACTAGTCTATTTAATGATTATGTTTATATATAAATCAAATTGTTTTTACTCTTTTCCATCTTCCTTAGCTGTGACTCAGACTATCATTGAAGGTACATAAATAAAGTGAAAATGGTGTACATTAGAGCTCTTTGGGGGAAAGGCCATGCTATTTTCTATTCCTTGCTGAAGTTTAATGACTGGTGCGTAAATTCTTTGAAGTGACCAAAGACAATAGCAGTTTTCAAGGGCTCTGAGGTTAAAATGAGAAATAAAGATTTTTGTGATGAGTGATAACCATATGTATACTGTTGCAATGATGGAATATCTTTATGAGAATAAAATTACAACCACCAAGGGTGAGATTATGCAGGAGGTAGACCTGGATACAGTTCCGGATATCTGTGTACACAGTCCAGAATGCACCGGTCTCTAGCTCGCTCCACTCGGCATGAGTGTTGTATGGATCAAAATGAAAACATTTTTTTCATGCCTATCAAAAAACATTAAATTGGAATCTCTCATAAGATACTGAATATTTGTTATCTACGTCTAAGCAGTGTGATGCAGCCATTTTCCTTCTAGACTAAGGTTAAGCGTGTCTCGTGAGTTTTTCAAGTTGAATATTTCCTAATCAGTTTGGGGGAAGCGGCAATTATTGAGGCATCCTTATCTTTAGTGTGCAAGCGATCTGAGATGCCAACATGGCAGAACACAATGTCTTTGACTTAGGAACTTTTCCTTTGTTTGCTGCTCGTCAGCCTTTGGGGGTCTTTCTGGACTCCCCTCTCCTCTGTTTCTCTTTGATGCTTCTATTGTATCCCACCTGGCAGTTAAAGGACAGAGGCAACAATAAGGCTGCCTGGCTACGTTTTCACCGTGCCACCAACTGCGAGTTAAGCTGACAAACATTTTGAGAGCTCGGCCCATTTCATTCACAGCAGGATGGCAGGTAAAAGCATTTCTGTATTAAAATACGCATTTTGTTTCTTCAGGTTTTTTTGGTTTAATTTTTCTGGCTTGCCCGTCAGGGGCAGAAATGGAAGTTGGTTGGGGATCCAGTGCCTGGGGTATTTAATCAAATGCCTGGCAACTCCTGATTACAGGATACAGAAATTTCACTTTTAAGGATTACTGTGGTGCATTTTCGTCAGCTCAAATGGGCGCCCCCTTCTACACAGCATGGAACTGGTCTGCTGCCATTCCACCACCCCCTAAACAGAATATAGCGGAAGAGTTGCAGTGCTTTTGCGACAACCCTTGGGTTATTAGAAACTGAATATGTGAAGTAAAAAATTTCACGGCCTTATGGATATCTGTGCATAATGTGTATTATTGTTTGATCGGTGAGAATGAGACATTGAGGTTCAATTTCATGGTGTTCTGTTAACTTGATTATGATTTCTTAAGTGGTAAGTATGAGCCACCCTCCATACTGAGTGAAACTCACTTCATCAAGCAAACATCACAAAGAAAATCATATGTTGATCTTTGACCATGTGACCTTTCACTCTGCTGTGCTAGACACCGCTAAGTTCGTGCAAACAGGAGCTTGTGGGACAAGACAAGTTGGCTTTCCTCCCTGAGCAGGAGTAGACTGAAGGAATTTCCCCATGACTGGTGAAATTTGGATACATAACATCAGTTTGCACTCATGCTGCTTACATTTCTAAGGGAGGTTAGATCTCTAGATACGAGTCACCTGGGACAAATGAGGATAATACTGTCACATTTATGGTGGGAGACTGAAGTTCGGAGATATGTCAGATTAATGTGATGAGAACATTACTCATTATGAATGAATCAAAGGCTCCCCAGCTGGTGTCCAAATTCACAGCTATTGAAGTCAGTTTCACAGAGCTTCTTCTGCTGGAGTTAGCGCCTACGCACGAGCTATCTTACCTTCGACTTTGACTGGCATTTTGTTTTGTAGTCTCTGAGCATCCTATAGATATTTCTTTCTGGATTAGGTCATACCTTAACAAAGGGTGCAGTGTAAAAATAACAGAGCCTTTCTCTAAAGCTTTATAAGGCAAATTATGAATTGAAGGCCCATGGATGACCACACTATGAGCATGCCTAGACCTTGTCAAAGGTCTGTGGTCCCTTCTGCTTCAGCAGTTGGACAGCTCCTCTAGCCAATTTGTCAAGGCTGACAAAGGTTTTCTATTTATAAATGTCCTGTAGGATCCACAAGGAGTGCTGGATACTCATTTGTTTTCTAAAGTAAGACTCAGGATCAATAAGTTAAAAAGTTTTTCAAGTTACTTCTCTGCTTGCCTCTGACAACACCACCTTGGATATTGATCCATTCAGAAGGTGGAGAAGGCCAGCTCCACTGCACTCTAGAACACTAGGTGGGTGCACTTTCTGCTATCAGGAAGAGGCCTTACCTTTGTTCATCTGATGTGTTTTGGCTTTCAAGATAATTTTGCAGGGTAGTTATATGTGAGAGGAAGGTTTGGAGTGGTAGAATGAAAAGGCAATCTTTCGAAAAGTTACTATTATTATTATTATAATTATTTTAGTTTGTTAAATAAAAAATCCTAGGAAAATGTCTTTGTTTGGAGATCAAATAGTTGAATACAATGCAGACCATAGCATGTCCATCATGAGAAAGAGTAAAGGAGAAAAGAAGTGCCCTTCAGCTGCTGGGGTCCCCAAGGCCCCATTAGGCTGATAAGCTGTTGATGAGCTTGAAACTAAAAAGATGGACCATTGCTGTTTCTAATGTATAAAGATAACAGTCCACCTTGATCTGGGTCTTTTCTAATTGTGAGTCCCAGTGGTCCAGGATGCAGGACAAACACGTGTGCCTATGCCTTCGTGAACTGTGCACATCTTTCAGGAAGTAATAAAAACATAAGGGGAGGGTGACTTCAGGGTCTAGGGGTGTTGCTCCAAAGTGGGACATTTCAAATTTGGAGTTTGGATTTAGCCTTCTGTTCTAGTTTTATCACATGTACTTCATTGTTTAAAAAAATATATATATTTCAATATTCTCCTCTGTGAGTAAAGCTGATGTTTGGAATAGGTTTGCCATGTCTTCCCCTCTGGACCCTGATAGACCTTTGTGGAGTGTCTCCTGTGTCCCACCAGGCAGTTTAATGCCCAGCATCCTAGCCCACACATCAGACACTTAAATCAAATTTGAAAAATACAGACTAGAAATACATGGAGTTGTGAACCACCAATGGGCAACCAGTGAGTGACTTGTAAATGATGGTCACAGACCTGAACCTATTTTTCTACCCAGAGGTTTTAGGTGATCATCCTCAGAAAATAGAAATGAGTTCCTTGTGAATTTTCAAAAATTTATTGAACTCAAATCAATTCTTTGAGGCTTTAGGAGGTTGTAGTTTTGTTATCAGTATCTTAGAGATAGAGAAACTTCTTCTTGGCTCCTCATCACTATCTTTGGCAAGTGTTCCACACTTCAAGGTTCTATTTTCTTTTCACTTTTGTTCTCTGAAAACTAACAGCTACATTTTATTTCTTGCTTCAAATCTTGTGTACATGGATTGTGTTAAACCAGAAGAATGGAAAATTGGCGTAGAGGGTCCTGGCTTCCCTGGTATGGAACTAGAATGATGGTGTGTGTGTCTGTGTGTACATATGTGTATGTGTGTGTATGTATCTATCTGTGTGTATATGTGTGTGTGTGTGTTCATATTGTGTGAGCATGTGTATGTGACCCAAAGAGAACATTGCCCATGTTAGTACACACATGTACTCGTTAAAGTAGAATTGACTTTCATAGTTTGAATCCCTGTTTCTACTCATTAGCTCTATAAAGAGTTTTCAACCTGCTTCCTTACCTATAAAATGAGGACATTCACTCTCTCCCTCAGTGTAGCAATAGAAGTTAAGTAGTACAGTGACCCTAAGAACAATGCTTAGTGTATGGTTAAAGGTCAAAAACATCAGTAACCATCTTTCAGGTAGCTAGCATTTATTATCTGCCTGCATGCACACATATAACCCATATACACATTTTTCAACACAACACATTATTATTCAGAGCATTCTGGCTAATCTTCAGGGGCAATCGTGAAAAGGCAATGCTTGCCCTCAGCATTGGCATCTTCCAGTGAGCAGGTGCGTCCTCTTCTTACTCAATGCCCAATGCCCTGCCTCTCTGTCCCTCTTTGCTGGCAGAGTCTTTCAAGTCAGAACCCACAGTTCACACACACAAAGGTGTGGATGACTAAAAACATTTGCTGGACTGCCCTTAGAAAGGTCACTGACCTCTTCTCGGGGATGAAGTACTGAGCCGAGAAGATTGTAGGCACAGGCAGCAGCTGGAGAAATTATTCCGACTGTGCAGTCTTTGCCTGCTCTCTGGAGTGCTCCCCAGAGTTTGGATGGTTAACTGGGCCAAGGGGTGAGGTTAGTTCAGCTGCTGAAGGTGCCTGCTGGGGCTCTCTGTGGGGTTTGTCCGACATCCTCAAAGGCAACCTCTCTCTAAGCCTGGGGCCATTTAGGAATGTCTGTCAGCTTTTCCATTTTTTTAAACCCCACTTTTCATTTATGACAGTGGGCTTTGAATCTTGCTATGCCTTAGACACAAGCTGTAGCCTTTTGAACAGCTGTCCCCATATTCTCCTTCTTGTTTGGATATATATTTTTTTCTACCAATATCCTATCCATATATTTCTTCTTACTTGCCCATTGTATTTTTCTCACAAAGGTTTGGATTCAAGGTTGAAAGCTTTTCATTAGTCAGATGGTATTTCTGATGCTTTTTCTGATATATTTTCCTTTGTCCTTTATGAAACTTGGAGGCAGATTTAAGATATGAAATGTTCCAGTTTAAGGTACACCTTCACTAGGGGTTCATGTTTCAACAGCCTTGTAATTTCTCTTGGATGTGTGTGCAGTAAGTAAAGAATTCTAGAGTAACCATGTTACAGGATGCCACAGAAAAGCCCTTCCAAGCAATGGGGAGATTAAAAGAGAGATAACCCTGTCTAGTTTGACTAACTGCCTTGTTTATCCATGGGATGGGAATAAAAGGACCCGCCCACAGTTTGTAAGAACCAATCAGATCACTGCATTTTTTTTTCAACACTGCAGTGGTGCAGACATTTTTCTTAATCTTTTTAAATGCAGTGCACAGCCTTTGATCCCAGACAGAGGGAGGTGGGTCTCTGTGAGTTCAAGGCCAACCTGGTCTACAGAGTGAATTCCAGTCTAGTCAGGACTACACAGTAAGACCCTGTCTCAAAAAAACATTTTTTTCTATATCAGCTACCCTCTCAATGAGTTTTGTTTTAAGAGAGGTCTTGGAGAGATGCAGTATATTTAGTAGCTTGTAAAAACTATATAGCTTTGTGTCTCCATAAATTCCCTCCATGGGCCTGCAGAACTCTTCTGTGGTATCCTGTAATGTAGCTGCCAATGGCTACCCTACTTAGCACACAGACATCCAAAAGGAGAATCTTCTCAGAAGTAGACAGGACAAATGTCCAGTTAGAAACAGATGGATACGCCAGGATCCAGAGCATTGTGCATTACCTGCCCAGGTTCAATGTCCAGGTTTGCATTAAAGCCACAAGTTATGCTATTTTCAGAATGTCCTGCACAAATGAGAAAATATAAATGTTAATGTCTACGGAATACTTGCTAAATATAAGACACTTATAATAATAATAATAATAATAATAATAATAATAATAATAATTGTTATATAACAATAATGATAGTAGTCATAGTAATAGCTAATTTGGGGTTTTTACTGGGCCCTAAACAGGCACCAGTTTATACAAGCTGTCTGAGTTCTTAATGTAACCTGTGACGTTTGCATTATTGTCTGCTGTACAACTGAGGAAATGAATTCCAAGAGCAGTGCTTGTTAAGTATACCCCAAAGACTCTGATACACAGATATCCTTTTGTGTATTCGACAGTTAAGGTCACAGAACACTCAAGTCACTTGTCTGCCTGGCTCATT